AAATAGTACAGACCATTGTGAACGAAGGACTGGGCTAAGACTGAGAGGTGGACATGAGGGTATGTCCTCTGCCATAGTGACAAAACATCAAACATTTTTGACTGCAGTGCCACACAATGCCAAAGGGGACGATGCATTTGACTACTGACTATTTATATGGAAAAATTTAGTTTTGACACATGAGTGAACGTTTTGGGAGAGATATGCTTTGCAAGTGACTATGGTGTTGTGCTGAACTGTAAGACTTTTTGCCAAATGATCTTAGAGTTTTGAAAATGTAATTTCTGTTTCGAGAAATAGCCAAACCAATGGAGAAAAACTGAATTGGAGCGTCTAATGGACTTATTAGGGCAACCTGATAATAAAAGTTGCAGTAATCCAGCCTAGAAGTAACACTTTGCTTGTAGTACTTACAAATGCCAAAGGGCAATGCATTTGGGGGCACTGACATATTATTGAGAAAGGAATTTAGTTTTGAACATGAGTGAACGTTTTGGGAAGATAGCATTTGCTGGTGAACCATGGTTGTGCTGAACATCCAGGTTATTTTGGCAAAAGCACAAGAGTGTTGAGACGTCCGGTCTGTTCGAGAAATGAGCCAAAGAATTGAAAAGGATCTTTTGCTTTTGGTGGCACTGACTTTTATATGGAATGGATTTAGTTTTTGAAGCATGAGTGAACAGTTTGGGAGAATATGAGCTTTTGCAATGAACTATGTGTTGTGCGAACTGTAAGACTGTTTGCCAATGATCTTAGAGTTTGATAATTGATTTCCAAACCAATGGAGAAAAACTGTAATGAATACACAACTCCTAAATGTTACACACTGGGACTTTGCTCAACTGTTATTGGAGCACAGAACAAAAATGGGAGGGACTTAGGAAGGGTTATTGTCTGGTGTTTTTGTATCAGATACTTGGATCAGTTCTGATATAGACCTACCCTGCTTTGGAAAGACTGCACATAGTGTGGGACCTCCCCGATTGTTGTAAGGCATTTCCTCATGGCATCACATGAAGAACATATAACAGTTAAACAGCAAAGAGTCGGAAAAAAAGAGGCTGAATGAACACCAGAAACGGACAACTCAAGCTATGACTGGGAAAGGGTCAAAGTTCATCGATCAGGAGTCAACGGACGATCGAGGAAGACATTCACATCTGATACGTCAAGGGTCACCATCTCTCCCTGAACATGACAGGAACTTTCTGCAGAGTGGCGACAGTATGTGGAGCGTCTAAATTGACTGAAGAGACGTGTCCAAAAGGCATAGGTGTTCCCAACATGCAGGGAATAAACGTAAGTGAAAGAAGTGTTCCTAAAATTGACATAATCAAGTAGTATGTGTGTGTGTGTGTGTGTGTGTAGGTATGTGCATTGCTGCTGGGTTAAGGACTTACAAAAGCAAGTCAAGGGCTAGGCTCCAACTCACAATATTGTAAAGACAAACTGCAGCCCCTCCCTCCTTGAAGTAATTACTGTCCATTTAGATGATTACCTGTAATTACTTGTTAGCTGTCAGCATCAGACAGAGACTCAGCTTCTGAGACACAAGGAGGAGGACGGGGAGGACGTGGAGGTGAAGAAAGGTGGGATTGGAGGAAAAGTTGGAAGGGGCAGAGGTGGAAAGGAGTGGAGATGACAGGAGGAGGAGGAGGAGGAGGACAAAGAGGAGGAAGTAATGGTAAAGGAGGAGTAGTGTGGTGGGGGGGTAAAAGGAGATGGAGGAGAAGTAGCAGGGGACAAAGAGGAGGAGCTAAGGACAGAGAGCAGAGTGTTGACATGTGTTTCTGTCAGCCAGGGTCAGGCAGTTGCTGTCTCCTCTTTCAGCTGCTGTCCATCAGAGAGTGCCAGTGAATTAATCTCCCCTTCATTTGCAGACCTCTGACAGCAGAAGTAATTGCAGGGCTACTGATCTGTTCTCTGATGACAGTGATGCTACTTTTTCCACAAATCATGTGACAGTCAGGCGGTAATGTTAGGAAATGGCACACTTATATCTTTCTGTTGCTACAGGTACTCACTGCTGTGATGTTGCTGATGCCTATGCTCCTGTCATTATTAGTGTAATAAATTCTCACAGCTGGAATTCAAAGCTGGTAAACAAATAACGATTGGTCCCTTAAAGCTTGGTATACAATGGGATTACTTCTAGATTTTGCATAATGCCTAATTTGATTCATATGAATACTCTCCACTATGCTGGTAGAGTTTACATTTTTACAGAAATCGTGTCTAATTCAATATTTCATCATCTTTCTGTGTGTATCTGTGTGTAGCTAATTTAACACACTTCTGGACCCATCAGCCTAAATTCTTTTTTTAAGCTTAAGGTCCTCTCTTGGATGCAGTGATCCACAATTTAAAAAAATACATGAATACTGCTCACACCTCTTATTCAGGCAGTAGGGGCGCAGTTTTCACCATTGAACATTACATTTTATGTTATTATTAATAGTATATAGGATATAAAAAATTGTATTTGCCATGCCCATCTTTCTTATTGCCTGCCAGTCAAAACATCATTAATTAATTAATTAAAGAGAGAGACAGAGACAGAGACAGAGAGAACAGAGGTAATGACAGAAGAAGCTGATGTTTGTTCAAGTGATAATTTTTCTGATCAGTTTGCTTTTAATTAGTTATTTGAAGCTATAAAAAGGAAGTTTCACATTATAGCCAGGCTTATATCAGGTATCAATACTGCGACGCCAACCCTGATCATAACTGCGCAGACTCTGGTTCAGAGTGGCTAGAGATGGCAGGAGCTGTACCCAGGAAATTTTGGCCTCATTTTTGTACTTTTATATGTTGATGGCACCAGTCCACACTAGCTTGCTTGCTAGCATCTTGGAAGCTAGTGTTAAGTCACAAAAATAGAAACATTTTTGCAAAGGAAAAGACCTAATGAGCTATTTCACTTCCTAGACACAAACATAGAGACACAACGACAACGTTGCTGTAGTATTGTCAATAGGTTTTCAAAGACATCTTGCAAAAGGGTAGCCCCTGTAGCTTTAGATAGCTATAAGCTAATGCTATTTGAGGGGCCTTGGCAGGGAAAAGTTTGGCAACCCCTGGGCTAAGCTGAAAGGCTCACGCAGTCTGTTGCACATCACATTTTGGCCTTTGTCTTGGCTCAAAAACTTATATCCATATAAACGTTTAGTCTCATCTTGAACAAGAGGATCAGCCCCAGGTGTGGCCAATTTGCTGAGAACCCTCTGCCATGGCCACTTCCAGTACCTGCACAGAATGCTACTAACAGTAACAGGAAGACAGGGCGGAGAGGGTCATCGAAACTGTAGCCCTTACCAGTTTGCTCAATGCATCCGTATATAAGAATATGTGGGTGAGCAAAACATTCCTTGCATAATACGTAAAGCAGTTTCACTGCACTTCTTGTGCTGGCTCTATCTTGTGCACACAACTTAATCAAAATATTTTTTTGTGTGATTTTTTAACCTTTCAGTAGCCAACCATGGCAAACCTAGAGTATGTGCTGTGTGACCACCTCATAGCTGGAAGAAGGGATAGAGATATCTTTGCATTACAGATCCTGATGTGAGGACTAGCACAAAGCAAAGATGAATTGACAGAGGGAGGGAGTGATGGAGGAAGAGAGGTGGGAGGCCAGAGAATGAGGAGGGAGGGAATGCTGAGATATCGCCCTGTTACAGACGTGAATTTAAAAACATTAATAAGACTAATAGAGAACACAGGACATGCGTTTAATGTTCAGGTTAGTTGCATCTGATCATACATTAGCCTCCATCGCTTCATTCTTATTCACTGCTGAGAGACAGGCGGGCCACAGGAGGAGGCCACATCTGAATGTGTGGCTGACATGAACTGGCTAAAATATGAACACACTCACAACTGCCAATTATAGTAATGCTTTTAACGCTGCTGCTCTGAATTGAATTAACCACAGGGCCAACCCCTGGATATGCAAATGCTGTGTGAATTAATGTGTAGCATTGAGACTGCCCTACTATAAGAAGAATGAGGAATCAGTAGTCTCAGCAAGAGCCCCTTAAAACAAATCCCTCTATTGGCCGTAGTAATAAAAGAAATAAGTCAGTTAAAGTCGTCCTATTCTGACAAAGTCTGTGTATGACGAAGGTTGGGGTGGGTAGATTTGTTAACAAAATGTCAGACTTTAACACAGGAACTGTGTGTTTCCGGCTTCCAACGGATGTTAAAAGTGCCCTCAAGGGTACCCTTCCAGTCTGACTGCTCAAACCTGCCAGCCATCAACTCATCAGTCCTGCAGTATATCAACCCTGGTTCTTCATCCACTCTCCGCCAGATCGTCCGCCAGATAAACCTGTAAAAGCAGTCCATGTTTCTCTCAATGTTTTCCGCTCTTGCAAATGAATTAGAATCAATGTCGTTTCTGGGAGACAGGTTTGGTTCCTGAAGACCTACCAGGTATCCTGTTACCCATGCTACCTGCTGCCACTGACTTGCCTTCTCCCCTCCAGGTCCAGCACTAGAGGGGTGGCATGGGAAACCCCAGTTTGTGTCAAAGGCTGTCAAATTGAAGAGATGTACTTAATGATCTGTTATGGGTACATTTTAAGTGACATGTTGTGTTTCCACCAAACATTAAACAAGATATTTTGTATTTACTCACGTATTCACCCTTAATCTGGCTATGGTAGTATGAGCACAGAATAAACAGATTTTGCTGTTATTTAATTGAAATAAACAGAACTAAAGAATACTAAAATTATTACATCATGATGCCGATTTGCTTTGGTGGGTTCATCAACAAGATCTAAGCCAACTACCAATGTTTCAGTTTTCTTGTGAGGACAGCCTTTGTTTCATGACAATACAGTCAGTCCTATAAATAGTCTTTTACAGGGCTGACTGTATTGTCATGAAACATCAAGGTAAAATATGTGATTAGTATGAAGAGGTAGTAGAACAGGTATTATTATTCTGTCAGCTATATGGAGACCAGAGGGAAAACTTATATTTAAATTGAAGGTGAGTTAAATGTTTAAAAAAAAGAAAAAAGGGCTTCTGACATGAACTTAAATACTCAGTTCCAGCATAGAATGTTAACAAGAAATTCTTAAATCAGTTATTCAAAAAAAGAACTGTTGAATTGAACGTGTGATTACTGAAATTCCCTGAGCCACACATAGCAACAGTTATTCAAGACAGTTTCAGTAACATTCACCCTTTAAAATATTTTTTTAGCCTGACCAGCACAAAAACTTTTTGGTTAAAAAATAAATAAGATAGCATTGTAGTTGCATTGAACTACATCTTTTTGATAAGTTGCATTTACAATTTATTGAGAAACATGGACTTTCACGGAGGCCATAGCTTCTTCTTCATGCTTGGAAGGGGAAGGTTAAACAATACAGTTGCTGTATGCAACTTCACCACTAGACTTAATAGATTAGACTTAATCCTACCCACTGGTCCTTTAAATTAGGATTTTTAAATGTGTACCCCCACCAAAATGTTTCAAAGAATCTAAAGCTTATTAAACTACTTACTGTAACAACTGTCATGGTTGGTGCACATTTCATCCAACACCATGCATATAAATAAAAAAAATGTATCACCAAAAATTACATTAAAACCCCTTATATAACAATAAGCGAACAAAATTGTACGCAATATGCGCACATTTGCATAAATAGCCTAAATAACATCCTACATCAGTGGCTTCCATCCTGGGGGTCAGGACCCCCACAATGAGTCACCAAAGCTTCATGGGGGACCACAAGGCCTTCTTGATTTTAAGGCATATAAGAGGCTTATATCGCAGCATTTGGTTCCTTTCTGAATGTACTAAACTGTAATAGAACAATGGCCAAGAATCAGGGAGAAGAAAATACTGAATTTGTAAAAAAAAAAAAAAATGTTTAAATTAGCCTATTAAGTTTGTATGATTGTTAAAAAAAATATTTAATAGAAATACATAATACAGACACAATTGTATAAAATGTTCCCTAAACAGGAAATAATCTGCTTCATCC